ATGGAAGTAAATAATTGTAAGCTGTACATATATACTTAACTGAAAAATTTTTAAACTAAAATATTGATTAATATTAAGATGCTACACCCAAATATTATGTTGTTTCTGACTCTTCGTTCTACAAACATATAACATGGCATATTTTAGTTCAATAGCTCTAATTTTGTGTCAATTGAAATGAATTTATATTTTATCAAACTTAAAGGTAATAATATTATCTGTGTTTTATGTCCTTTAAAGTTTTAGGTGATAATTTAATTTTTAAGCAAGTTATGAGTATGTAAAATATTATAATTTATAATTCAATTTTTTTTTTTTAACTCGTTTGAAAATTAGAATATTGTAAAAACTTTAAATGGAAACACATATAACGTTTCTAATTTTTAGGTTGATGATATATCAATTTTTTCTATTACTATAGCACGTGATACACAGTAATGGAACTGTTGAACACAAATTTGTTATATTGTAAGTTTGTAACTTTGTAAGGTGCAGATAATAATATTGCGGTTTTGCGAGTGTAACGTTCTCTATTAAAACTGGCATTAGTTTCAATAAGATTTAACTAAACACTTATTTTAAAATGTAATATTCATATTAACAAATGTAGGAACTATCATTATATATATATATATATATGCACACTGTATATATTGCATAGTCGATTCTTAGTAATTCGAACCTTGATAACTCAAAATTCTCGATTTATGGAATAAATAAAATTTCCCTTCAAATAACAATAACACTTAAAGTTTAAGTAATATTTTTAATTCAAAAAATTTATTGGACAAGTTTACAACATCTCGATTTTCCCTATTAATATTTAGTATTAAAAATAGTTGATTACCGCGTTTATTTTTTGTCAATGACTTGATTTGTAGAATCCAACTGGTTGTCGAAAAAAGGTAAATGTTAATTTTTATCGATTATTGTAGAGCATACAATTTAACTTCGACATTTAATGCTATTCAAAGCCTATTTAAAGACACAAGTGTAATGTTAATCTTGAAATATTACGTTTTTATTTCAGTTATTATCCAAAGCATAATCAATCATTTTAAAATATTTTACCGAAAAGAAATAGTAAAAAAATACTTCATCGTCCATCATTAATGATAGCAATTAAATATTTGTTTTACAATATTAGGTAATCATGGTTTAGAATTTCGACAGAAAATAAATTTTATTAATCATTCATTTTTAACATACTACGGTGAGTGAAATCAACAGAGGCAATACAACTTAATGAAGTACATACTTTTAGATCAAACATACATATCGATGAAAATAAAATTTGGATATTTGTGGAGAATAGACTGAAGGCTATATTACCTTTGATAGATTGAACAGTAATAATGAAGAAGTCGAAGACAAACAAATACAGTAAATTATAACAAGTAAATAAGTTTAATAAGTGAAACTAGCATTAAAAACATTACATCAATATATCGATAGGAATGGAAGTATGGAAGATTTATTAAACCACTTCGTTGTTTAAAGAATATTATATTGCTAAAGATTTATTAAATAAACAAAAACAATTAATTTTACATCAATTTAACAATTTTCAAATAAAATACCATGAAAAATATTTAATAATTATAAAGTATTTATGTACAATGTACATATTTTTTAATGATTTTTGATATTTTGACATTTTTCATTCCTTCTGTGAACTTTGAGTCACTGAAAGTCAACTGTACATAAATTATATTATGCTTCTTTTATTTTACAATATTGCTGACAAAGTAATGAGCGTTTCTCATAAAGGAAAAGAAAAACTTAAATTAAAAATGACAGATCTAGACAGTAGACATTGTAAAGCTTATCATAATTGTGTTAAATTTTATGATAAAATATTTTTGTACAATTGTTTTTTAGTAATATTATTGTAATAAACTAAAATAAAACTAATTACTACACACTTATAAATAAAACTGTATTCAATATTAAACTGTACGTATTAAAAAAAAAGTATCTAATTAGTATTATTAGTATTGTACATTAATAAATAGGTAAAATTATATAAAGTCTGCTGACTAGACCATGGTATAAATTCAGTGACCGACAATCGTAGTTACATGTGACGATCGCAATCCACATTGTATTTAAAGTAGATTATAGGTATAATCTCGGACGTATTAGGTGTAATCATGATATTTTTTGTCGCGTGTCAGTTAGTCAGTCTTAAATGTAGTTAACGTCGAGCTTTTTATTTGCGTCCGTCGTGCTGTTTGATATCTGTTCAAATTGTTATCGTTTCGTCACCTGCGACCGTGTATTTAGTGATGCAATGCAATTTAGTGGAACGAATCTTGTACGTATATTTGAGAGCTTCATCATTTCCGGTTTGACAATACGCGTCGCTTGTTTCCCGATTACGAGCTGAGAGTTGTGCATCAAGACAAGATATTGTACATATGACACCAATATTATTTACGAATTCCTTGCAAGAGATATTGCGACTGTTATTTTCATAATTTACGCTTCTGCTACGATCATTATTAGTGTTGTTTAAAATTAATTTTATTAACTATAAAGTATAAATTACAAAATAACATTGAGTAAGCAAAGATACCTAGGTAAATTTGTTACATTGAAGTAAATTATTGGTAAAATAGTACGCTTTATGACGATTTTCAAGATTATATACAAACGGGTATTGTTGTTATTTATTATGGTTTATCATATATTCGTTTGTTATATTCACTTAGGTAAGTAAGTATATACAGGTTTATAAAGCGCTGGGTATATTGTATAAAATAGGTTTTAATAAATTTTTAATAAATGCATAAAAAGTGAGCAAGCCTTTGATAAAAAAATATCCCTGTTTTTATGTGAAAACATAAAAACTTATTAAAACTTTGATAAAGCAAATGTTTAGAAAAAGATATTGGTACCCTCAGTAACACAATAATGACAATCTATTATGTTATTATACCAGGTGTATTGACACGTCTAACTATTACTATGTAGCATTCACTTGCTGCAGTATTCTACCATGTAATTTGTCTTTAGATGAATGATGGACTTTGTCATACATCAGTTCTAAGTCATTGGTGTATTTATGGTGGTGAAGTGTGAGGATACATCCCCTCTTTTGTATTTTTTTAAGACTTAAAATTACAGTATAACTGTTACTTATAAATTTGTTAAACTGTGAGTTGTGATTTAAATCACCATTGATTAAATATAGACAATAGAAAATACATATGTAGGTTTGATTAATGGTAATTTATTTTATAAATACATAAGAAGTGTAATAAGAGTGTATAATTTATCATTATTATAAAATTCCTTACACAGAATAACTGAAGTTCAAAGGTTGCAATAGTTATTCATAAATTTATTTTATGATGAAAGACTATTTTTTGTTGAGTTACCAGGTACCAGTATTAAAAATATTAAATACAATTTTCGGGTGATTATTATTAATAATATAATTTTATAAAAGCACTAAAAAGTTATTTCACATCTTCCTCCTCGAGTAAATCTTATATACTACCCTGGATTTCTAACAGTCCAATCAATGCGTTATTTTCATTAATTAATACATAACTTCGAAGATATAGAAATAATTAAATATAAATAAATTCATGGTCCAATAAGTATGTAATCAAAATTTATTTCTAATGATTATAAAACTATTTAAAACCATAATTAATAGGGGGTTTAAAAAATAATTATATCATATAGTATTATACTAATATTTTTATTTATAATAATTATAAATGTTAATATGTTAAAATTAAAGAACGATGATCATAGCGATCTTCACGCTTATATTTCTCAAATACGCTTCTAGTAATTGTAATGACTAAATATGTCGTCGTGATTAATTTGTATACATTACTCGTTAAATAGTTAGAAGAGTGAGAATTATTGTTTTTTTTCTATCGCGTAGTCAAACCCTTATTGTATTTCAGTAGTCATGACATGTCACATAGTAATCACGTAGTTCGTTTTACATTCACACCGATAGTAATAAAAATTGGTTAGGTTAAGTTAACCTTATAGCCGTATGACTATAATATATTGGAAAAAAAGCAAATAACCTAAACCATAGGACGTTTGATATTAAAGTTATATTTGGTGATGATGATGGGACGTTTGTAGTGAAAAAAATCTCCTCCGAGGCGGCAGTTGAGTACGTAAAAAAAACTCAACGAAAAAGCAATAAACATGAATTCTGTCGTGAAGTCATGGGCTACAGGAACGTTATAATATTATTTTGACTGCGTCTGTAAGAGCGAAGGACCGCTGCAGGAAACAGGCGGTGTGCACATCACACTCGCACTCGTTTTTTGATAACGTTGAGGGTAGTTACCGTACAGTGAAATAAATTCTAGAAGGATGAAAATAGGATACAATTGATAAATTGAAGTTGGCAGAACAACATAAAAGTGTATTGTCTATAATATTATCCCCAAAAGATTACCTGAAATGATGTTATTTGGAAATATAAAAATAGATACCTTTAAAAAAAAATTTATGAAAATTGCTTTAAAAAAAAAAAAAACCATAAGTTCTTTGATGAAACAATAACAATAATTTCTGTGAAAAAAAATTAATACACTATACGTCTATAGCCATTATTGAGGTACATAATTGATAATACAAAAAAAGGATTGTCGTGAGTATCATAGACCTGTAAACAGTAAAAATGGTCGGTTTCTAGTTATCTCAAAATGTATTGTGACGCTTCTCCGAAAAACGGCTCATTAATTTTCCTCGGTTCGGCGTACACTGACCCGCTGTTGTGCTGCCTAAATAAACCAAGGGGTAAAAAAAAAAAAAAAATCGGTTGTTGTCCATACCTAGAATTTATAAATGTATTTTACCGCGGCGCGCCGAAGGAGGGGTGCGCGCGTGTGCCCACAACCGAACGACGCCGCCGCCAGATCGTCTACCGGTCCGCCACCGACGCCGACGCCGACAACGACGACGACAACGACGCCGCGGCCGCCGCAGAAGCACGACAGTGAAGCACAAAGTTTCGGGCCGCGTACAAGGCGTGCACACGTTGCCGTCATTCGCCGCCGCCGCCGCCGCCGTAATCTGTACCGTCGTCACCGGCCACTTCTTCCGCCGTTTTTGCTTCTGCCGACGCCGTTCCCGGCGGTCCACTGCATCCGTCGCGCGGCCTCGCCGTCCACACAGCGTAGCGTCCCAATATCTCTTAGATCCCGCAACAGGTATCGGTCGCGCGCCAAACGACCAATCGTCGTCCGTCTCGTCTTTTTCCGCCCGCACATGGTACGCCGCTCAACCGTCCACCACCACCACCCGCCGGGTCTCGTGCACGCGCGCCGACGATGACGTGCTAATGACTGGATGTCACGCGAATCGCTTAGCACGCCGCCGTCGCCGCCGTCGCGTTCAAACCCGTCCGACTAAATGGAAGTGTACGTCTTGTTACAGGTACGCATAGTATAGTACATATTATATTATTATGTACCGTGATTACAATACGATACTAAAATGCACCGTTCTTTCGTTTCGCTATAATAATAATAGGTACCAGTAAAATGCCTCGGCGGTGAATGCTATGATACATATATATTATTTTTTTTTTGGGGGGGGGGGGGAGAGGTTCGTGTCAACAAATTCTCTCCTAGTAGGTACTACTGTGCCTTAAAATCGACCAGATATCACTTCAACCATAGAACCGTGATCCAGCGAATAAACAAAATAGTAGTAAATCTTCAGTAAAATATTTCTATAAAAACGTTTTCACATTAGTTGGTATATCTAAAATATAAAAAAAAAAAAATTTAAGTAAAAACATATTTTTTTAATAACTATTGAAAACTGCAGTCGGTATAGTGTTAGGTATTACAAAAATACTGATACATAAAAATAAAAAGGGTCTCGTGGAGTGATCTATCATACTGGTCACGCTTCGTGAACACGCCACTGCCTGCAGGTAGAAAATGTGTATTAAATCATGATGGCAACTGCAGTGGTCGACGGTCGTTTGATGATGTTGGCGAAGACGCATACAGTGTTATTGTAATATTTGATAGCGAGCGGACGAGACTGACTGGTCGTATTACGTATTCTAAGACTTGTGTTGATAATAATAACAATAGGCCGACCCTCCCCGTGTTCACATCTATGTGGTAAAGACATATTATGTATAACGTTTAACTAGCGGAGATTGGTTCACGTCTGATTGTCGTGAACGTAGAGCAGCGTTTGGGTAACTAATAACTATTCTAAGTTTTAGTTTAACTATCTATAGGTATATATCTACATTATAACTGTGGGGTATATTTGAATAATATATTTACACATATACAACAAAGTTGTATAATAATTTTTATTCTAAGCTTCTATGATTTATCCCTTCAATGTTTTATCTCAATTTTGTACTTAACTTTTTAATTATTTAAATTTGTAATAAACACAAATATAACAAAAAAAAAAAATAAATAAAATATTTTTCTAAACTTAAAATGTAATACTGAAAATAACTATTAAAATTATTAATGAGATAATTTTAATAATATACAATGAAGCTAATAATATATCAAATTAATTATACGTTATAGGCGAAATAATATCAACTACGTACTAAATATTTTTTTCTAATAAAATGATTTGGTAGATATTAAATTATTACAAAATATATTTATTTTGTTTAATTATATTAAAATATAAATATTAAGTTTGAAAATGATTTTTATAACAAAAAGTAAAATTTGTCAATTTCAATACAGTTTTCAATGGAATTTAAATGTTTTTGAAATTTTGTTTAAATAATTTAAAGTGTAGATATTTATATTCCTAAGATACTCGTAGTAATTGTAAGAAGTAAACGTTAGTATTTACTATAACTATATAATATAATCTTAATGCTACTTTGTAAATTGCACCTGTAGAAACACATTTCAGAAAGCTTCAGTAAAGTTTTTACACGTGTTTTATGTGTGTGTAATTTTATAATTTGTTATTCAAGTAAACAGTTATTTAACACTTAATTATTTGCACATAATTTTATTTAAAATAAAAAAAAAAAAAAGTCTTTCGATACTTATTTCAATGACGTATATACGGCACACTTTATTCTATATGTACCTAACTAGTAATGATTATTTGTCAATATTTAACTATAGAATTGTACTTTTTTAGTATTTTATTAATCAAATTATTAGAATTAGAACAATGACTTTTTTATCGTAAAATTGGTCAATAAATAGATTTTTATGAAAGATTAACTTTTTCTACTTAAATATTATTTTTTACTATGTATTTTTTGTTTATACTAGATAACATGCAATAAAATTAATTATTGTCGAAAAATTTATTTTGAACAGTTTCAGGAGTATTTAAAATTATTATTATATTATTGTTTGTAATTTATAACCATATCTAGTGATTTATAAATATTTTTTCTAATTAATTTAAAAATAGATAAATAAGTACTTCAATCAAATTAAATTATTAAAACATCAATCAATGTAATTTTACTTTATACCTATACTGTTCATATCAAGTTGGTATATAAAATATATTTTTAATTTTGAAACGTTATAAACTTATAAATATTAATTTTAAGTATCTCTGGAAGGACTGTAAAACAATTAAGATAACATATTTTAGTATATTGTATGTATATATTTACTCCGTTTACAGTTTATTACTACAGTGTGTTCTCACTGTATTCATTTTGTATTTGGTGTAGGGAGAGTAACGTGCTAAATAGTAAATACTTGATTCTCTACATAAATCAAAATATATCAAGGAAAACCGCTGTATAGAATATAATATTAAAGCGTAATGCTTAAATAACACAACTAAAAAAATAAAAAAAAAATTATAAATGTCAGAATATAGTTTTAAAAATTTACACTGATGATCTAATAAAATGTCCACATAAAAATTTATCGTTATTCGCCAGAAGAGACAAGGGTTATTTTTTCTACCATCAGTGTTTGTACGTGTATGCATATATTGTTATTATTGAAAAAGCGCGTCATAACAATTTATGAACAGTATGCCGTTCTGTGTATTTTTTTTGGATCTGTACATTTTTAGGGCAGAAAAAAATATTAAAACCACGAGTTTATAATAATATATTCCATTAGTAATCTATACAAGATTAAAATGTGCAGTATTCGCAGGAATGCCGAATTACTTCAATAAGGACAAGATGAAAACCAAATAAAAATTTTCGCCCTCATAGTTGAAAATTTCAAACGGAAGTTTTATTACGTTTGTAAAACATTTAGTTTGTATGTAACTTAAAAAAAATTGAGTCTATTCTGTTCGTGTGCAAATTATTTTTTTGCACGTCTACCAATGTGGAACTTTATAGTAATGGATCATATTATCAAAAACGACGTTATACATTAGAGCCACGCAGACATGAACTTGGTATTATAGAATAGTGAGTAGGGAAAAATATTATTTACGAATCCCATTTAAAAATATTCGTTTTTCTCTGAAAATATAATAGTAATAATAATAATAGTAATAATAATAATAATAATATCAGGGTGTGGAACATAAATTTAAAAGAAATTCTGACTGTTAAGGCTGTTAATTATGTTAAATACCTAAGTACCCAGTAAGTAGGCAACATATTTTTATAATTAATATGCTTCATTGTTAATTTATCGAATAACCTGGTTAATTTAAAATTTTAAAAATACGATTTAAATTATAGATTTTAGTAAAAAAATTTTAACAATCGTTTTTTCAACTTATATTTGGTATATTATTGTTTAATTGATATTAATAATTACGCAGAACTGAACTTGAAACTAAAAGTCAGAAGGTGTAAATACCAATTAAAAAATTAAAAAATTTGATTTTCATAGTATTTTAGTTGAACCATAATTTTATTTATAGAAAGAATTTAAAATGCAATAATTAAAAATAAAAACAAATTGTTAAATAAAACTGAAAAGAGTGTCAGATATAATTTAACATTAAATTTATATTAAAGTTGGTTAGTCTTTTATATTATCAATATATAAATTGTTTATAACTTTAAGTTTTATCATTTTAAGATATTGGATATATTTTTCGAAGTTTCAAGTTTTTTTCTAAGGCAGATCTTCTGGAGAGTGCTTTTAAAAATAAAAAGATTATCGCTGTCGAACATTATAATAATAAGTGATAAATCTAATAGCAAATTTTATGAAACTGGAATTTAAAACAATAGCGTGTACACACTGTACACTGATTGTATTATAGCAAAATACATGCATTTTCTTTTTTCCATTTGGTATTTGAATTGTGAAAAATGTTGTTACATTTTTGTCATGCAATGCATATGTACGTACACATAACAAAGCCAATTCAATTAATTTTGAACGTACAAATAATTTAGGTAGTCATGATTCAATAGATTTAATAATTTTAAAATACAAAACAATTAATCATGAACTTTTAAATTGGTAGGATAGTATTTTTAATTTATATTACATTAGTTTATTAAAAAGACTATTGTGTGTTGCAACACATTAAAAACAATACTTATACTAAAATAAAATTGTTTTGTATATTAAGATAATTATTTAACAAATAAAATTTTTGGGTATTAACAATAGAATTACATAATATTACAGTTGTTTTTACAACTTTTGCTATAAATTTTACTTTTAGTATTAAATTCAAATGAACATTGGTTTAATCAAACATACATACATCATGTGTATAATTATATTGAATGTATAAATTTGACTTGTTTCAGGAAAATTTATCATTGTGGCAAACAATCATAGTTTTGATTAAATTATTTGGATTAGCTATTTCTATGTAATCTCTATTTAATTATTAATCACAATTTAAAAGTTATCATAAATTATTTAATAAGTTTAAAAATTGAGCGATCTTTAATGATGGGTTGGTTATAGAATATAATATAATAAACTATTATTAAGTTATGTGCATTATTACATATTGACATACTTAATATAAAACTATATAATATTTTAGATTTTATTCAATTTTAAATTAATTTATTTGTTTTTATTTTTTTTCTATTTTTTATAGAAAACTTTTAGAAATTACAATATTTTCAACTACAAAATAAAAATACATAATAAAATACAAAATAAATTTTTTTTTTTGTTTCAAACTCAATGATTTTTTTATTTTAATAATATAACCTGATTGTCATAGATACTATTAAAATAAATAAAAATGTGTATTTATGACAGATTTAGAATATTTAACGGAATATAGATTGAATAATCATTAAATTTTTGATAAAATATATTTTTTTATTTGATAGGTATTTTATGATTTTATTTATATATTAAGTTTATTATTTTATTATTTTTATTGTTACTATTTGATTTTTAAATTTTATTTCTAATGTAAAAAATAAATGTACTTATTTATTGTTTACTAGTACTAAATTTAATAACTAAGACAAAATAAATGTACAATATTTTATTTATATAAAT